AGACACCGAGTCTTGGGGAACAATCATCCCAAGTAGAGTGATTGCGAGAAGATGGAACACCATGATCCTATAGAAGGTATTCTTAATTGCCCGCGACGTGGCCTTTTGAACATTCGGAAAGTGGCAGATACCCGATCTCTCGCTCCCAATGTATGCAAACGTGGCCGAAGACATAGTCGAACAAGTGATATAGAACTTCTCGAGCAACCCATGCGCATGGTGGTGATGAGCCCCAAAAGGACCAGGATCCGACCAATACCGAAACCCTCTGCGATCATGATCCGGTCCTCCACCCAACGCAATAACCGTAGAAAGAATCATGAGTCCCAGCATGATAACCAATTTAAACGAAGAGACATAGAACTCAATCCGACTGGGGAACTTGTGGCTAATGCAGTTCAGCGTCACGATAACCGAGAGAAAGATTGTAATCCATGCTCCGGGATTGACTCGCTCAGCATCTACCCAGTAAGAGACGACAAGTGCCGCAGCAGTCAGCTGGTTCGGCGTGACGAGGGCGTATTTCAACCAAAAGCTGCGAGCACGTGAGCAACGAGTACAAGGTCGATGAAGCTCCATGCAATGGGACCCTTACATCCAGCCCAAGCTGAACCCAAGTGCCGGATCACAGAATCGGACAGCCTGGTCGGCGACTGTATATGGCTTCGGCAGCCATGAAGCGACCTCACCTAAAGCAGAGAGAACGAGGAAGACGGCAAATCCGACGATGGTATATGAAATGATAATGGCTGCTGGCTGTGCCGGATCAATATCTTCGTTCGTGTCCTCGGAGGGTGTCACTTACGCCGCTCCTACTAGGCGTCAATGCTGTTCACGCGGGAGATACTTCTGGGTGAGAGATCTTACATGGACAATGCTCTTCCCGTACCAACCATCAAACCCGTTCCAATGGCCGATCCGATAGCTGGGACCTGTTAGTATATGTGTCGTAGCACAAGCCTGTAGATACAGACTGATAACGCTGATTTGTCGGGGTGTCAATGACCCGTAGATATCGGCGAAGCCAGTGGCAGGCTCATTGTGATGAGCTTCGGGGGCATTCAACACACTCGTCGGGTTGTTGACTGGTTCGGCGCTGGGAGGTGTGGGTTGAGATGGTGATGCCGGCCGGCGTCGCGCAAACATCCTATGGAAGTTCCTCATTGTCAACATCCAATTGACAAGATCGAGAAAGCTAACAGTCAAGAGAAGACGGGAAGAACAGCCATTATCGCATACCATGGCAAGAGCCAAAATGGAAAGAACGAAGGACAACTGATGGGATCACAGATCATTGGAATGTATTTTCTATATGCAAAAAGTCCATAGGGACCACTGAATGGCAAATGAAACAAATAGAAGTAATTCCTAGGCATTCCAGCAATTCTAATTGCCGTCAGCACATCGCACCAAAAAAAAAAGAAGCGGCATCTATAGTCCAAAAGCCACAAGATCACGAACGCCCAAAAATTGTCACACCCAAAAAGCACCAATCAGGTTGCATACGGAATTTCCATGTCCCCCGTAGGGGCCGGAGGGGATAGCAGAGATATCATAAAGTCTTTATCAAATTACCAAATGGAAGACGGTTCTCGGGCACGGCGTTGTCTGAGACGTTCGCTTCCCTGATGAGGTGAAGGGAGTGGAGTTTTACATCGGAACACGTGAGGGAGAGAGCGTGTGGATCGTCATTTCATCTCGACATGAGCGAGTCGCTGGACTCGGTCCGGGGGAATATGCGCGTGTAAAGGGAATCGCTGGACTCGGTACGGGGGAAGTGCCGTTGGTGCTTGCGGGAGATAACACGGTCGGTGTAGACGCCCTTGGCCGAGCCGCGGATGACCTGCTCGAGATACTCGCAGAAATCTGTGGGCTGGAACTCCGGGTACAGATCCTGTGTAGTGTGGTAGCCAAGATACTTGGCGTATTCGGGGTTGTTGTCACCGCGGATTCCCCACGAGAGCTGGTATTCGGCCAAGTAACGCGGGATGAACTTGATCGGGTCGAAGGGGTAAGTTTCACTAGCTTGTCGGGCCGCCACGACTCTGCTGCAGATGGTCTCCTCGGGCACCTGTGCTCCGGAAAAGAAAAACGGTTAGTCACTTGCTCATTCCGGGCCGACAGGGTCTGTGCGACATACGTAGTTCCGATCGATCTTCTCCTCGCTGAGTTGCTCCATGAGGTCGTAGATCTTGTTTTGTGTGGAGACCAAGTTGTAGGCGAGGATCTTCTTGTTCAGGGTGCGGGGGTCGGAGATGATCATGGCCATGTAGCGACCGATATCGCGCAGGTCGGTCAGAGCTGTGGGCATGTTTCCGTCGCCGATAATCTCGTCGTTACCGGATGTCATGGCATAGTCGACACGGCCGGAGGGGAGACGGGGGTAGGCCAGCTGGTACCACCAGCCGACATCGACGATGGTATAGGGAATCCAGAGCTGGCGAATCTGGTTGTAGACAATTTCTTTCTGTAAAGCAAAACAGGGTCAGCCCACTAACAGTATGTACCACGCCACAGTGCTCTCATACCTCGTCACGCAACCACATGATACCGCCGGGTGGGCAGACGGTGATGAAACCACAAGGCACAAACCGCTTGACGCCGGTCTTCTTGGCCGCTTTAGCGAGAGGGATCTGGTCCTGCTGTTCGGCGGGACCGACACAGCTGATGACCACATCGATCTCAGCCAGAGCTTCGATGAGCTCTTCCTCGGGGGCCTTCAAGTCGCATTTCCGAATCTGAATGCCCCGATCCTGGAGACGTGTGATGGCAGGCTTCTGGGCCGAAATAGGACGGACAAGAGCGATGACTTCCTATAAAAATCGACGCAAACCGAGATCGTTAGTCTAGGGGTCAATTGGCGGGAAGGTCGGCTGCGTACAAAGTCACCGGTATCCAACAACCCGTTAGCAATGGAGCCTCCGGTTTCACCCGCTGCGCCAACCAGCAAAACCTTGGTCTTCGACATAGTAGATATTCAAGTAAAAAGGTGAAGGGGAAGGGTGTTGGGGGGGAAGTGAAAGAGAAAGAAAGGGATTGGGTAACAGGTTTAGGACCTGACGACGTTATAAATTCCCAAGGCTAACCCACCCACTTTCCCACCAGTGGGTCAGTGGATGTTCGTTCCCCTCGTTTTGAGGGGATGATTTTTCCCATGATGTCAGTCTTAAGCATTACTTATATATTCTCGTTTTCTCTTCTATCCTGTTATTCTAGGATTTATATCTTTTCAGTACTCCGTACTCTGCAATTTTTACGGGCCGGGTTCGGGAGGGGTTACGTCATTTTACGGCTTCCCGGGCTTGGATAATGATGATGTTTGCGGCTAAGTACTGTAACTAGAGATATATGAAGTACACCAACCTAGATATATATGCTGATTTCTATGCTCTCAAGTCTCGCAAATGTACAAAATATTGGTCTTAACTTGCAGAATCTCCCCACGTCACAGATCTCGCCAGGTTTCAGGGAAGCTTAGTCAGCGGGTGGCGCAGACCGAAAAATGGTGAGCCATGGCCAATGAAATACTACAGAGGACTGCCCAGGTGCCTATGAGGAAGTAGTAAGCAATAGCACGGTTCCCTAAAATTGCTTGTGATCAAAATAGGGCCGAAATCCTGGTCAATAGGAGGGGATAATAACTCATAGGGGGGCGCCACAGCCGCCGGAGATCTGTGCCGTTATTCTGCAAATCTTGTCTTCTCTCCCTGTTACACCCTATTCATCATATTCGTCCCTAGGCCCATGGTAGGCCCTTGGTAGGCTCTCGGTGGGGATCACTCGCCTTGGATTCTGTTCTTGATATGGCAGGTAAGGGTGGCGATCTCGGGGTCATCGCGGGGAATGCATAAGAAGGCCCAAGCAAAGTGACTCTGTGAAAGGATCATCAGCTAGTAAGAACTGCGGGGGGCCATGAAGCTGGGGAAAGTGATACGTACATGTGATGCAAATTGAATTCGTGATAGCTTCGCATTAGGTTTCTGCCAGTCTAATAATGAAGAGAGAGAGGTGAAGCCCAAGTTGGGCTCTGGCTGCTTCCATCGCAATATCCATGTCGTTGCAGATTCCAGACTAACCTGCGCCTCGACATCTTTCTGTACACGGGTAGCAGAAGTACCAGGATTCCTGATTTGTGTTGTGTCGTCTATTGGTGGTTGTAGTGGGAGTGGTCTACGGCACCTTTTCAGATGGACAGGGGGGGCGGCAGGAGAAGGAGAGGAGGGGCAAACACAGAAACATAATGTGAACTGCCCAACTCCAATGATAGTTATGCCCAACGTCTTGAACATGGTGGATGGTGGTTCTTAACCTCTGAGTAGATCTTTTGTCTTTGGGTTTTCGGTGAAGGGTCTAGTCCATTGCAATGAATATTGACGGATGTTCGCCTTCATAGTTCATTGTACCAATCACTTCTTTTCATAACTCATCTCTAGAAAATCATCTCCACAAAAACCAGCACAGTCTAAAGTAAAGGTAGCATTATGATGAAATACGTAGATATTTTCTCCTTTTCTGCTGCCTTGCATCGACCTCCTAGCTGCCCTCTCATCCACGTTCACCTGGATACTAGACGCTTACTTTGAGCGAAATGGATACCTAAGACACTAGCTCGGTGTGGGTAATCCGCAGTTGGCATCTGCGCTAGAAGCACTGCCTATATGTACTGTAAGCTGAAGCAAGGGGCGGGTGCCTTTTCATTGTAGGGATCAAGAACGCGGGATATCCCGTGCTGGATAGCATCATAAATGCCTCAATCCTCCCTGGTATCGGAAAACCCATTCCTCTGCCTATGTATTTGATCGCTGTATCTGTTCTCACATGCTAGAAAAATGCATCATCCCTATCCTGTGTAATAGTCAATGAATACAGAATAGAGATAACCAAGTTAAATTTCAAGAGGCTTATTATCATAAATCCTTTGTTCCTGCATATAACATATCTGAAACGATCGTCTTTATTGCGAATCGAAGTTATAGCTGTCGAGTTTACTCAGCCACCCCTTATTCACCAAAAATCTTCACATATTGTTGGAACTTGCAGAGATATCGATCAAGGCCAAGGACAGCAACGAGTGAAGCAGTCCTATAAGAATATCAGCGTTCATTCCAAGCCTTTAGGTAAACAGGGTGATATAGGAGACCTGCCTTGCAACAGTTCGCCCACCTATAGTCACTTGGACAGCCCTGTCAAAAAAAATCAAAATCTATGTCAGCCATTAGAAAATTCAAGCCATCAACTCCAAGGGCTCAAATACCAGAAAAATTGTCTTGGTCATTCCGTCATATGCCTAAAAAAGGTGAAGTATCAGAATTTTGTTCTTACATCTTGACAACGATAGTAGTCTTCACCGCACTTATTTCTGTCATCGTCCGAATCATCATGATCATGCATAGACATCTCATGGCCCCAATCACCCGAATGGCCATTGTTGCGAGACATCATGACATGATCATAATGCTGAGAGTCTTCTGAAGGTGAAGCCTCAGGGGGAGGAGATTTAGCAGGCGGAGAAGGGGCTTCGGCGGGAGGACTTGAAGCAGGAGTCGACGGAGGAGGTGAGACGGCAGGAACACTCCACGGAGTAGCTTCTTCCCTCGTAGCCCGAGCCATGTCTTCGTGAGAGTCAGCAGCCTCCCCATGAGGCGCCGCGGGGGCCAAGCTGGCGAAAATGATAGTGATAAGGGTAGTTGGACGCATTGTGACAGGAGGCGAAGATACTTTTTTCGAAGGGTATGATTGCAGTGATGAGCTATGGAGATCTTTATAATTAGTCAAGTATGCCCTGGTTTGGCAATATCACATATATATCTTGAGTGAGAGATACCATTCCGGACATAGGGAGGGTTTATATATTGCATCTGTGCTACCTAAGTCGACAGGCTAGATATTCTTGAATTCGGACGTTACTCGACGTGTCATGTTTAGATAGAGGTTGATACTCCGGCGCTCCCAGTATGGCTACTTTAGATGCGGGACCCGATGCGGTTATCTCAACATGCTGAGATAACTGGCGTTTCCTATCTAGACTACAAATTTACACCTTGAATTGAGTTAGTACCTGTTGATCTCGGTTGGGGATCTTACTACGCCAAGATATATGTACTGCTTATTTCAAGCAAAGCCGCTAGCCAGTGATATATTGTGTGGCGTTCTCAATAGTACTTGGCGAATGCCCGTGATATTTTATAATTGAGTGGATACGAACTGTAAGTTTATCTCGTACCTGTCCAAGCCATGTATCGGGTTTACAGACAATACCGAGTTCTGGGATAAGGTTTCTATTTTGCCGTCTTGTACATCATCTTAATGGCCGAGGAGGCAGTTATGAAAGCTGATATAGTATCAAATGTGTAGTTTTATGGCCCTTTGTGTTTGTGACACAAAGGAAACTACAAAGCACGAGTAAAAATATCAAGATTGATAAAGCGGGAGTGTTTCAAGAATTGGAAATAGGATGAAGGCCTTTGAAGGAAAATTTTTGAGGACTAACGATTGAAAAATTCCGATCTTGTATGCTCTTGGGAAGCACCTTTTCAAAGGGTCGAGGTTTAAGTTGCACGCAGTGACTGGGATTATTGTCCCGTTTGGAATCTAGTGGCACGAAAGGAGAAAAACGATTACCCCAGGTACACGATGATTTTCCATAAATGGAAGCCCCGCGACTTTCCCTTCCTTGCTATCATACATATCTTCGGTGGCTATGAGAATAGCTTTTATTTAAATGTAAATGTAGAAAGCTTATTGCAAGCGTGGCTAGCTTGAATTAGATTCACAAACGGCAAAGGGTATCTAGTTTAGAAAGGAAAAACACGTAACAGAAGAAAAGCAGGAATATTACACAGTCTATAGAGCCTAGAACTCGCAGTCCTCGTCTTCAAAGTCATCACTGTCCATCTCGTTTTCTGAGTAACCATCAAGATCACCCATCATGTAGGCGTAACGTTTGGCCATGCGCCGTGCCTCATAGTGTGTATATGAAGTGTCTTTGATAACCTGAACAGTTCTCAAAAGCCTAGGGCCCAAATATAATCGGAAGGTCTGAGTTTCCGCATCAGCGTCCATCTTTTGGCATCTCTGCATCCGCCTCAACTTTTGAGTATAAGCCCAACGTACTTTCGCGGTCGCCGTTTGCTTTTCTCGCGCATACTCTCGCTCTTTCCAGTATTCAGTTTGTTGCTCGAAACCTCGGTTGTAGTCATTTGCCCATCCTTCTCTCCATTTCAGACCATTTGCTTTCATCTGCTCATCCCAGGCTCCGCTGAACACTGCCATTTTCCATTGGAAGCTCTGTAGTTCTCGAAGGTCATTCTCATCGCGGCAGAGGCTTACCCAGCTTCGGTGGCAAAGGTAATGCTGTTGGATATGGTAGTCCATCTGATAATGTGCGAGAAGGACAACCTCATCTTCATCCAGGTGACCAATTTCGTATTCAGTCAGTTTAGCGCCTTTCTTGGTATATCTGTCAATAATGACTTCTAGTTGTTCGTAGTAGCGTTTTCGCAAAGGGGCAGGGATATCTTCCCAGAAAGTTGGGATTTCTTCGGTTTGCGGTTCGGTGCTCAAAGGGCATATATCGATATCCTCACACCTAGTAATTTTGTTGATGAAGTGATACGGGTAGCTTGATGTATCGTACGTCTTCAACACTGTCTCCTCAATCAACATCATAGAGTTCGAAACGTTCTGGGCGTGTTCGCAACCTGGGCAGTCGAGGGCTCCCTGTAGAGCTTGAAGGTGTGGGGAACTGTGTGCTTTGGTGGACTCATAACGTCCCTTGTTCCTACGAGAGCAAGATTTGGTCTTCGAAAGGCCTCTTTTGATAAGCTTCCACTTAGCTGATGGGGAAGTTTCGTCTCTGGCCTTTGTTGACTTGGATAATGACAACTTCTTCTTGGATGGACGGACTGTCATGCTGTATGTGGGTAAAAGGATAGACCTGATTTGTTTGAAGTAAAGCGTGCAGTACTGCGTGCGCAGAAATGTGACTGACAAGTGCAAGTGGAGATCCATTTATGTGTTGACCCAGAGGTTTATGGGTTTGTTATAACAAAGTAACAAAGAGGATCGTATTGTTTCAGATGCCAAAAATATAAGAAAAGAATGCTTGTACATATTTAGATCCACTTACTTTAAGTTGAACAAAGAGGAACAACCTCGGGTCAATAATGAACAGCAGATATCCCATCCTTTTGGATAAGCATAGACCTAGCCACCGTATTCTGCCCTCCATGGATAGATCTCTTCAGAGGTCTCATGGTCAGATTTAATTCTGGTCAGTTCATATACAGATAATAAATATAGACATGACTTTGGGCGAGTTTTATCAGACGGCCTACCCAGGCAGCTGGTCCCTATAACCAGTGCAAAGCATAGTCCCGCTATTTGTCGCAGCAACATGCTGTGAGTGTGTCCGCCCACAACCTCCTCATCCACAGCACTGCTTAGCATATGCTGTGGAAATGATTCCTGTTTACCCTCAGAGCAACTTGGAACGGTTTTCGGTTCCCCGTGTCTTTTCACTCACCTCACCAGCGTGAACTGGAAAACCCTAACCTCGCATCCGAATATCATCATAACCTCTACGCAAGACATGAATCGACCTCAAGTGCCCGTCTTGGAGGAGGCATCACTCGTGTTCCCCTTGAGCTGTCTTCTGCTCTCGTTCCTTTTCACAATTTGCTTCTATCGCGCGTCATTCAGGAACGTACTTCGAGCCCCCACCCAATGCGTCGTTCGCGTTTGTCAGAACTTCCTCACTACAGTGAGTGAGAATGGTGGCCCATTCTTATACCAATATGTTCTTCCTGGTACTCAGCATCTCTCCCACGTGGCGTTCGTGGCCGTCATCCTGAGTCTCCGGGTGTTTTGCAGTCTCACAAGATACGTTTTCTCTCGCTTCTACCATGCACTGGTACAGCAGCAGATCGAGCACATAGTAGAGTGCCTTGCAATTTGTTACCAACACCTTCACGCTACCCACCGCCATAACTTGGCGTTGGCGTTCGATCATCTTCGAGCTTCCTACCTGTATACCGTTCACGTTTGGTATCCTCCTTACCATGTGGCGGTCGAAAGCTTTCTCCGGATCTGCGTTCGCTGTGTCGTTCATGGGTACCAACAACTCAAAGAAAACCTCAATATCAGGGACCCCCCAACAATCCACATCCTCGACGACGAGAGCGATACAGACGACGAACGAGGTCAAGAAGATGAATCGGTTTTCCAAAATATCAATGGAGATGAAACCCTACTCTCACCTGTAGGACAACTGATCAACCAGAACCATCAACGCCGTCCCCACGAGTCATCACTGTTCGTCAACATGAGTTCAACAGCCAGCAACGCTAGCTCGTCGGATAGCAGTGACCTCAACACACTCCCCGACCCCCCAACTCCCAGGACCCTAGCCCGACATATCCAGTGGAATATGCCCACTGTACCACAAAACCGTCGACCCCGTCTTGGCGATTTCACTCCAGATGGGTACACTACCCACAACATCCAGACCTACAATCGGAGCACACAGGCGGCGGATATTCCAGTTTGGGAAGTGGAGTACTATGAGAGATTTGATGGACTTGAGTCCATGGCTGGAGTGTCCTGGATTGATGTGGCCATCGACTGGTTTGCTGAGTCGGTTTTCATTGTGGTTGCTCCTGATATGGTTCGGGACGAGGAGTGATGGTTGGTTGATTTTTGAGGATGTGACTATCTACTCAGAAGAGAGATGGTGGAAGACTTTGCAAGATCGGTGGAATGAGGATATTCCGGAGAATTGATGTATGTATAGTATCACAATCGACATTCAATCTGAGTTCATCCCTCGTTCATCTTCGTGTGTAGTCAACCAATAGGAGTGTGTCTCATATTGTGACCCCTTGACGTTTGAAGGCGGCGATTGAAAGCAGTTATTGGCCGGGCTGATCGGCACTAACGCGCCACGCAAGGGTTGGAGCAGGGATTTTATGGCTTGGGCTCGGGAATCGCGCACATGCTGAAAATTGTGTTTTAGTCGGTGGGAGGAAAATGCTTCGGTGATGAGAGGTATGCATTGCAGGCCAAGATAGTGAGGGGGCATCTATTCTTTACTTAAAGGGAGCTGCTGGGTTTACAAAATTATCGTAGCTTTGAATGCACACATATTTCAATTCAAACTAGTCCGTTTAGCCTTTCTTTATAGTTCTGGTCGTCTATTATCTCATACAAGATCAAAGGAAGTCATTCACGTTATTCCCACCGACATTAAGGGTCAAACGGAGATCCTGATTCTAGGTCGTGATCATTATACTTTGGTGGATTATTTATGGCGCACAGTAGCCACCGTCGACAATCAAATCGACGCCGGTAGTGTAGGTTGAAGCATCGGAGGCCAGGTAGAGGTAGGCACCCTTCAGCTCGTGGGCCTGACCTTCACGGCCCATTGGGATCTTATCACGCCAAATGTTCTTGGTGTCCTCGGGCACGAACCTGGAGATCTCGGTGGCGATGTAGCCGGGCGAGATGGTGTTGGCACGAGCGAAGCGAAGCCACTCAACAGAGAGGGACTTGCCTGAAAAGACATTAGAAGAGCAACTGAGCCAATGGGGACAGCAGCTTACAGAGGTGATTCACACCAGTCTTCGCGGCGTTGTAGGCGGCTTGCATTTGGGGGAAGTTGACTATGTGGCCGGACATGGGGGCCGTAGCGACAAAGCTACCGTAAGTAAAGTTGGTGAGCTTGTTGCCATTAGTGTCAGTACCCTCTTCCTTCTGGCGCCGCCAGTGGTCGGCGGCGTATTTGGCACAGTAGAAGGTACCGTCGAGATCAATGCCGACTACATCACGGTAGTGCTCGAGAGGACCGTCCACCATGTGACCCTGGGTCCAGGGAACACCGGCATTGGCAATGAAGACGTCGAGATGACCATTAAAGTCCTTGACGACCTCATTCACTGCTTTCTCGACGGCCTTCCCGTCGGTAACTTCGACCTGGTAAGCCTTGGCTGTAGTAGAGACGAGAGTAGTGAGGCTATGGAATCGCATATATTCAAATCGTTGCGTGAACACCGTACTGCTGGGCGATCTCGGCAGCGCGCTCAGGGCACTTTGTGTTGCTTCTATACCATAAAGCCACATTGGCACCGGCTTCTGCCAGACCCTGAGCGACAGCCAGACCGATACCGGCGCCAGCACCAGTAACAATGGCGGTCTTTCCCTTGAGAGAGAACATGCTCATGAGGCTGGGGTGCTCAGGGGCAACAGTATTATTGTGGACAAAGAGTCATTCTTATTAACGGGGTTGGCAGCCATGACGATCAGATATGAGACGAAATGATAACAACGTAACGAAAGAGCAGACCCCAGACCGAGGGATATCACTTAAATAGGACTTCTAAGCGGTTAGGACTGACAGACGGTGAGAGATGCGCTGACGGGAGGAAGCCGGATGAGCTGTGTTGCCTGTGGGTATGCTATGCGTCCCCAGAATAGCCCGGGGGTGGGTCGAGGTTGGCAGATCAGAGTTACATCACATTTTGCAACAGTACGGTAGACCTGTGAGAACAGATCCTGCTTTCGATAAAAGCTCATGCATAGTCTCATCATTTTCCGCTATTCCATGTGAAGTGGTGAGAACTGAGAACCTTGGGTAGTTGAGAGTTGTGAGTTGAGAGTTGAGAGTTGGAGGAGGATATCAGGCCGATCAGCTGATCCTCACAAAAGAGGCCCACATGTATAATGGTTTCTTCACGTCGAGTCCTGAGAGCTGCATTGCACATTGCACTGTTAGATAACACTGTTTCTTGCAGTGAAACCTCTAGGGCGGAAGTGTTTAGTCCATGTACCATTACGCCCTGGGAGAACAGTGATGCCGAGGTCCCACCATGGTCCCGAGAAGAGTGACTGGACATCCCGAGCCCCGACCCCAGAAAACGACGCGACAGCCCTTGGCTTTTAACAATTGAAGAAAAGCTGTGGCTTTTGAGAGTCGCAATTCGACGTCAGTGGCATCCAATCGGGTTGGAAGTATGCGCCCCGGTTGGGGCCACAGGTACTACGGGGAAAGACATCCATCGCACCTCACCATCTCATGACAAACGGTACATATTCATTTACTTACAGCAGTCACACAAAATTGACCCGTTCATAGAGAATCAATTTGGGGGCTGATCGTTCTCCGGGGCGAACCCTGACGCGTTGATCGCAGTAGCATCGGGTATAAATCAGTGTCGATTAGGGCATTCAATGATCATTCCAACATCATGAAATTGGCCCTTTGACGTGCCAATGGTCCCCTGGGGCTACCTTATTCGTCAAGGATGCCATGCTCGAACCTTGGCAGAAGGGGGTAGTGTGGCAGCCAGCATTCCTGAGACTCGGGTGGTGATGAAGCAGCATTCTTTAGTGGGCATCATTTTTCCAATAACAAACGTAGGTCTCTGGGAGGAATGCTAGTAGCGCTGCACCTGATTCATTCTCGCTGTTCCGCCAGGGCTTGTTGTGAGGCGGATGAATCTTCCTGTTCTGTCAAGCTTCACACTTGCCGTTCGATAGAGGGATAATATTGAACGGTTGCTGCATGAACCACTGGTTTTCTGGATGAAGGATTGAGCAGATACTTTCTGTTCAGTGCGCCCACTTTGTCTTGGAATCAGCTCAGTGACGCGCCAGCGAGGCGACCATGCTGGGGCTGAGTGCCGTTGTCGCCATTGCCGCTTCTGGCGCGGCCATCTTCGTTGTCATTTCGGTGGTCAGTATAGTCGTCTGGGTCAGATATCGCAAAGAACGTCATGCATTGGCACTGCTTAGCTTCAAGCAGGGGCAATATACAAAGGGACTGCAGTCGTTCCCAGTGGATACTTTGACGGAGTTGAGCCAGGCGGAGGGAAGTGCTTTGAGGACGCATGGTCAGCTTCCATATGGCAAGCCAAGTGAATGGGGGCAATTGACCTCGCGAGAGAGTTTGCTTCGTCCGAAGAACAGCTCTGAATCTTCGTTCCCTCTCACGGAGAAAGCTCGTTCCCTCCGCAACTCTCTTTCTCGTTCTCGATCGAAACGTCTGTCAAAGTCTTCCCACAAACGTATGAGCTCTTTGGGAACTTTGGGTGAATCAATTCATCTTCCCAGTCCGCCTCGAAAAGCATCGATTTCCAGAGAAGACGTTCCTCTTTCGGCTGTTGAAGGGGTTCTTGAGCTTCCAGCAGAGAGAACCCCCCAGCAAACACCAGATCCCAACGAAGAAGATACTGGCTTCCATCTCGGGATGCGGCCAGTCTCTCCCGGATGGCCGTTCCCATGGCCAAAGGAGCGATCAGGGCTCTTCCCTGTGATGGAAGATCATGATTCTCATCACGCCTTCGATCCTCCAACCATGATCTTCGATGAATCTCCCCAGCGCCTGCGAGGTGGAAGCATCACCAGTCAAACCGCGGGTATGGTGCCACATCACTCTATTCCTCCCCCACCACCAACGGCATATCCGCCAGACAGGTTCAGTTATGCTCGCAACGATTCAGTCTCGCGCATGTCTTCCATGAGTTTGGATACTACAAACAGCTCAATTTTGGACGACGGCAGAAATGGACCCAGGTCGGCAGATACTGATTTAACTTCACCTATCTTCTCATCAGGTGGCACGTTCGTTCCCTTCAGTGCAGCTGATGTAGGGGTTAAGGATGGCCGCAGGAGCTTCATCGCGACAAATACCTCCATCCCACCCATGCATAACTTCCCTGTGCGTTCTTCTTCAACTACTGAAACTCGTCATAAGTCTGCGTCCATGTCACCCCGGCGCAGTATGACAACCATTCGGCATTCAGATGCTTCTGGTAATCGGTTCAGTGGAGCTCTCCGTCGAACTGACTCACTCTCGTCGTCCAATCCTCCGTCGAGGCATGCATCTCTACGATCTGGCACTCCAGTTGGCAACTCAGGTTATCCCAACTCTGCAAACAGCTGGCGGTTCTCTGGCTCGCAGATGGCTTTCGTGCCGCACTTCAGCCAGTTCCAGAACAATCCTGACTACGAACATGAGCAGATGGAGAACGACCCCTTCTATGTTGGCTCCCCAGGTGGCGGAACTCTGTTCCACCCTGTTGGCTCACCAAGCAACGCATCTAATAACCACATGCCACCAAGCCCAATGCAACGTTCAAGTCTCTCCCTCAAGGCCCCTCTACCATCGGCACTGAAGGGAGGGAACTCACAACGCAAGGGTCACCGTCGTCAAAACTGTGTTCGAATTTCTATTCACCCGCCCATGACATTTGGGTCATCGACATTCTCTGAGACCGTGGAAGAAGAGCCCGAGGACTTCGACAAGATGGAGGAGCTGGATCTCCGAGAAAGTACAATTAATAGCCCGGCGAAGCCCTTGCCCTCATTGCCGCCATCTTCAATGTCGTCTCCTGGTGGTTCACGACGCAGCAAGTACGGCAGCAGACGAGGCAAGCCAGCACTTGGCTCCCTTGGACCCCTGGCTGAGGAGCCGCAGCTTACAGGTATCAAGACCAATGCCGACAACAGTCCTCATAACAAGAGAAGACATGACCCACCCTTGTCCACTGGAAACAAGCACCTGGGTCAGCACGACCGCTCTCTTCCCGACATATTCACCTCCATCTCCCCTTCTGACGGCGTTTGCCTATCCCACACCCCCTCTCCTGAACGAGTACCACCGATTTGGGAAGTTCCCGAAGTTCCTTCGCCGTCATACGAGAACTCCTCCCCAGGCACCGGAAGCCCTCGACGCTCCGCGGTCAAGGGACCACGGCACCAACCTCAGTCTCGCATCACAGCAGCCCGTAGTCAATCTACACGTGTATCATCAAGGTCTTCTGATCACATGGCACCAAGTCCTCTCGAATCACCCAGCCGTCTACCTCTTGTCATGAGTATCACCGGTACAGAGGGCAGCGACTGGCGCCGATCCACAGAGTCCCTGCAGCGAACACGAACCGACGCAACGGACCGTACATACCGCCGAAATCGTGATTCAACGGACAGCATGGAGTCTGGACTAGGGCCAATTGGTGGTTCCTCGCCATTGTATGGTACACGCCGGCAATCCATAGTCCAGGACCGTGTTCATATCTTCGAGGACGCCAACCGCACCGAGTCGCCGTACAAATCACCGTTCAAATCGTCTGATGTCCAGCCCATTGGGACTCTCACCACCCCGGAATCCTCTCCGACCCGGGACAAGAACAGCATTCCCCGTTCTATGCCCAGTAATCTACCTTACCCGTCTGGAGTATCTGGTCAACGCGTACCACCTACCCCTACTTCTGCTCGTCGGGGTATGACTACCCCGACGGGCAAGGGTCTTGGTCTTGGTTTTGGAACTGCTACTCCAGCCAGTCTGTATGATGGTGACGGGTTCTTGCGTGAATAAGTCATTTGTTATCTTCTGTGACGAGTCATTTTTGGAGTGTAGAGTCCAGCAGCGAGGTCTCATTCTGTTGAATTGTGTGATTGCGATGTTAGGTTAAAAGCCTCAGCGTTCTTGTTTCATGCCTTGTGACAGACTTGTCGACTTTCTTGACTCTTCTCTTCTCTTTTCTTTTGTTTGTTTCTTGTATCGGCAATACTCCCCCTTTACTTCTGTGTTTATGTGTGACGTGTGTTTGATATCCATGGTTTAAGTAGTTTTTTGGGGTTAGGTTTAATCCATTATCAATAATACTGGACAATACTTTCGCAATATTCACTGTAGCCAGCTTCAGCTTCTAACACATCCTGAACTCCATTCTGTGCCACTTTTAATTCCTCCAAATCCCCCTGATCACTCAGTCCTCCGCCACTTAGCCTCATCATCCTCACCACCATCCTCATCCCCACCAAACCCATTCTCCCCTTCCCTAGCCCTCACTGTCCCAGCCCCAGGCCCAAGCGGGAAAGAAGGCGGCTCACCCCCAGCAATCCAATTCCCTTCCCCATCAAAGAACTCGCCCATATTCTCAGCTGTAATCCACCCCGAACTCCCAGCAACAGGAGGCGGCAAACCCCCATCTCCAAGTCGAACAACACCATCCGCATCCTCCGCCGAGAACCACTTAGCGCCCTCCTCATCGTCCTCGTCCTCATCACCAGGCTCAACGGGGTCGGGGTGCAAATTCGAACAGGCAGAAACGGAGTTGTAAAAGATCTGAGTGGGTGTTTCTGTCTCGCCGGATCCATCGCTCGTCTCTTGCGTTGGCGCGTCGGCTGGCAGTACGATTGTCATCGTGATAGACTCTTCCTCGTCGTCTGCCGAGGGTGCGCTTGGTGTTGCAACTTGCATGTACAGGCCTTGTACTTCCGGGGATTCGGTGCCTGGTACGCGCAAGCGTTGGAGGGCGTGCAGTGAGATGGAAGGGTAAGGGATTGAGACGCCGGTTGAGGCGGTGGGGGAGAAAAGCAGGAGTTTGCTAGATGATTGAGGTGGTTAGCTGGGGTTCTTCTGGTTGTGCTTGCGCTGGAAGGAATGGAAGACGAGGATCGAGGTTACTCACTCGGATGTCACCCAGGTCTCGACGCCCTCAATAGCGACTTCCTTCTCGTCATCTTGCTCGCTGGCTGCGGCGGCGCTCTCACCACGTAGAGCACTGAGTGCCGGACTAGCGACGAGGTCGCGCTCTAGGATGACGATCTTGCAGCGCTCGCTGTGGTAGTGTAGCACCGGTGGTCCTTCGTAGAAAGAGCTCGGCGTGCGCGATTGATGCTCTGCGAGCGGGACGAAGGCGGAAGCTTCCGGGGAGTTGCGTAAAACCTCCATATTGTTAAAGGTATGGTTGTGTATTTGGTGAGTGTGGTATGGTGTTGGAGAAGTGGTGGTTGAGAAAGCTTCGGCGAGGAGCTTTTCCGTTTGGTTGCGGTGGAATTCCCCCACGATAAGCTTGAATAGCTATAAGCGGCGATTTTCAAATTGGACATATTGCCTTAAACAATGTAAATGTATTTAATATCACAAATTGCATGGATTCCGACTGTTTCGCGTTTCGATTCCCAATGTTTGGATTACAATTTGTGTAGAGTTTTAATATATATTCCAAAGCTTCGAGCAAAGAAACCGTAGGAATTATAATGCAAACGACAATCTACATAGCGAAACATTGGGTATTTTGCTGTATCTTCAGGTGGCCATCTAGTTTTATAACATTTTGGTACAATTAAGTCAAGATTTTAGAGGATTATTAATTTCTTGCTTTGACAGGTAGCTAGGGTTGCTGCATTCTTCAAGCTTTATCCGAGGGATAGCCGCACATATTCACATGTTGGAGCTAAGTAGCATCTCTGGTCATAGTGCGATGTATCTTGTGCTTTGATACCCTTAGTCGGTCTTCCAGGTCGACTGGTTTTATGATCCCAGACATAGACACCAGAGTCAGCTCTGGAGATTCCCATCAAAATACAGCACCGGCACGACGGTAGACCGAGGGACATATCTACCCAGGTCAAGCAAAGCATTGCAGGCTGAAATGACCCGCGAGCCTCGTCCAGGGCCCCAGAAAGAGCCCGGCGCAGGGAACTCCTGGATATACAAGTCCATGTACTTCAGTTCCAGAAGCTCTGGGCTGTAGGGTTCGACACTGAGCAAAGTAAATGTTTCATGCTGAGCAATATTTCCCAGGTTCTCCACCATCAGGGGCAAATGAAACAGAGCAGTATCTTGCGACACCACTCAAGATCATTTCACACCCAAACCACCAAACGCTCTATCCAGCTCCTCCCCCTCATCATGCGGCACCATAGTAGGCATCTGAGAAGAGCCCTGGTCAGGGGTAGAGCTATCCAGCAAGCTCGGCTGAGCCTCACCCTGAATACCGGGAGAGGTACTGGCGCGACTAGGCTGAAGCAACTTCTCCTCGCGATCAAGCCACCCAGGCGCGACACGTCTCTTCTCGGCCAGTTCACGTTGTTGAATGGAGTCTTTCCACGCTTTGATGGCATGGTCGGCGTCGCTGCGCGTCTTGTTTAGGTGTTGTTCGAGGGATTGACACGCGGCGAGGATGTCGTCTGGGTGAGCTGCGTGCTCGCCACTGGAGGAGACAACATATCGCGCTTTACCGTCTGGGTTGCTCGGGTCGACTGTTACTGATGGTGGGAGGATCGAGGAGACGGTTTTGTATGTGTATGGGAGTGTGACGGAGGTGGGGAGGTTGATGAAGGGTGAGACGGTCAGTGGGACCTGGGCGAGGAGAGGATGGGGGCCTGTGTTGTTTAATTAGATATCTTAAGGATGTGCGAGAGAGAAATCCCAAAGAGACTTACGATATGAGTCGTACATAGTGAAGCCAGGTCGGGTTGTTGAAGTTGGAGATGCGGAGTAGCGGAGATGGCCCAGAGATGATGGCGGGGAGAAACGTAAGCAGCGCCGGTTTTTAGGGTTGGCAGCTATCAACATTCGAATTTAATCTACTAAAGCGAGATAAATTCTTAGACATCCAGCAGGGGATTTGAATGACTCCATCAGGTCTATCATTGATGTTCTTGGCTCGTATTCTATCTGTTCCTTTATACACCGGCGACACTCGAACAGTCGCGTCAACGATAAGAACCGCGAATTTACCAACGAGATGTCTGTGAATCATCTTCTCATTTTGATAGCAAGTGTGTAATCTGACCGAGCAAGCTGGTACCCTCAGCTTGCTTCCTGACCTATTACTGTTCCTCATTTGGCTAGATCGCATAGTGTGTAAGAATTTGCTCACACTCTTCATCATTAACCAAGCCCTTCGGCAATAATCCATTAGCGGCCCTGGAGTTGCGGTCTGCTCCATGTTCTAGCAACAATTTGAGCATTTCGCGGTTGTCTTGTCGCGCAGCAATATGCAGAAGCGTATCTCCGTTGCTTGATTTGTAGTGAACATCGGCCCCACGGTCTAGCAACATTTTCACAACATCGGTATTCCAGTTTTCCACGGCTGCTGCCAAGGGAGAAAATCCCAAGTCGTCCACAAGCGTGTGATCTGCCCCAGCTTCCAAAAGTAGCTCTGCGTGATACCCACGCCATTGAACAAGGTGGAATAAAAGAGGTGTTTGTCCACTGTTGTTTCGCATGTTGATATCTGCGCCATTCTCGAGGAGAATAGGAATAAGTTGATCCTGGTGGTCGTCACAGACATGCAGTGGGGTATTTCCATCAGAATTTTGATAATTCACTTGGGCGCCGCGCGCGACAAACTCCTTCAGTAGATCTTCATTGTTGTCGATATCCCATTCAGTGGCAACTGCAAAGATAGGTGTTTCATTGTTTTTGTCCGCAAAGTTGATGTCGGCGCCATGTTTCAAGAGCAAGTCCAGCATTTCGGTTCTGGACGGACAAGATGATTGACATAGAAACTTTATAGGCGTTGTCCGGTAAGTCAAGGGGTCCCATCCCTCGGGAAGGTCAACCACTTCCAGTGTTGCCCCGTATTGTATCAGAAGTTCGACAATCTTGGGGTTCGTAAAGTGGGTGGCAATATTCAAAGGCGTGCGACCCCTGCTTTCTAGGGAATTAGGATTAGCTCCATGTTCGAGGAGTACTCTGATGATTTCCTCGTAATCTCGGCACCCGTTATCGATGAACTCGGCAGGGTGGTGTTCGATAGGTATTGGTGGAGGGCAGCAACGTGTCAGCCTAGGTCTAAAGTTCACACTCTGCGCTGCTGCCTTGCCCAAAGCACTTGGAATATTTTTTGCGTGAAAGTTGACATTGGCCCCATGTTTGAGAAGAACTTTGACGACATTCAGATGCCCACGGTGTGCAGCCAGGGCTAGTGCGCTGTCTTGGCGATCCCGGTCAGATCGCCAGATCCTCAGTGTGTTGGGGTCGGCCCCTAATGACAGCATGCGCTCAACTGCAGCGTCTAATCCCTTTTCGCAACACGAGCAGAACGCGGGGTCTAGTGACTCGAGATTGCGTTTGTAAAGATATGTGATAAGTAGGTCATGTAGGCGGGGATTTGTTTGGAGGAGTGCCAAGACGTGATGTTCGTCTAGTTGATGTGCAACCAGTAGGATCAGTTCAGTGGGTAGGTCAAGGAGTGGCACCGTGGAGGCGTGTTGGTGCAATGACAGTCCTCCGTGCTCAAGCTGTTGGGAGGAAGAGAGTGACATCGTGAAGACGAGCTGACGCGAAGACAGTACTCGATGCTCAAGCTATGAGGAGAAAGAGTAAGACGGTCCTTCCAAGGCCGTATGCCATATTTACTCAGTAAAAAGACATCTGAATCCATAGGCAGTAAGCCACTACAGTAGTAATTATTCTTGTGACGTCCAAATGAGCACTACATTTTTCTTAACGGGGAATGGCATGATTGCCCCGGGGATCAGGCCTCTTTTGCTTGCCCTAACTAGTCCACAGGACTACCTAGGCACAGACATAGGCCATAAGTCCTTTCACATCCCCACTTATATAAACAAATACAACCCGACGCACTCGGAAATTGGCAACAAAGAAGTGAAAACAATGTATGAAACGGTATCCTCGCTTCGAGGTTTTTGTGAAGAATCTGCCCAATACTTCATCAGTGGCACCGTGTACTGTCCGCTGTTGTATTTAGTCTGATGCTCCTCCATAGAGACTCATCATCTTCTTCTCCTTCTCTTCTTCGTTGGGGTCTTCCGTGCATCAATACCAACAACAAATCCTATGAAACAAAACAGCAGAGGCTTTCCATGAAAGCAAAGTTGAGGGCCGTTGCCTGTAGATCATGCTACAAGACTTGCTTTGGGGTTAGCAGACGGACTTCAAGCTACAAGTGAAGACCGCGCAACACATTATTGGGTTTGATCGGCCTGTACGACGCCGAGATGCGTTGGCCCAAGGAAGAAATATCCGCTTAGGTGTCACAGCCCTGGTTATTTGGTGCTTAGGCCGTTCTAGACATACTATATTTAAGCTTATATTGAACTTAATTTTCCTTTGGGCATCATTTGAAGAACCTGGCAATTACCTTCATCTGTCGGCCAGTCAGTGCTTGGATTGTTTAGTCCATACATGCCATGTTAAGCATTATCGAACTTAATGGCTCTTTGGGAGCCACCTGAAGGATTGGGGCGTTAACTTTAAAGGAGGGTTACTACCAGTTCATGCCAAGATGAACCTGTTGTCGAATCATTCCCAGTTGAGGGGTGACATGAGACTTGACGTATCCATCATTTTGCTTCACTCTCATGATTCTCAGCGGTAGCTGTGGAATAGATACCGAAAGCCTAAACAGAAAGGCGATGAGCTGGAGTCATTTTATTACAAGAAATAAGATAAAAACATATAAATATGCCCATTCTCGCCGAGAATTACCAGTCTTTCTTCTTCCCAGGACAGTCTGCTATCAAGACACTTTTAATCATTCAAAAAGCCCCTCAGTTCATCAATATGTTTTCCCAAACCACCATTGCCCTGGGCCTCCTCTTGGCTGGAGCTTCTGCTCAACAAGCTGCCAACTGTGAATACCAGTCATTCAAGTGCGGCTCCGTGCTGCTTGCTGCGCCCTTCAGTAAGCAATACTTGATACCCAAGGAACGCCAAATATACTAATTGTTACCTGTTTGAACAGCCTACACCACGGCCCAGCTCACTGCGGCTGTGAACGACACCGCCTCCATCCCCGCGCTGACCACTACCCAGCTTTCCCAGAGCCTGTTCCACTGCACCGATATCCTGGGCGCCATTACTGGAAACGCTTATTGCTTCGCTGGCTGTGACTCAAAGCCCGGTTCTCGTAACGACCAGTGCATCTTGTAAGCGTAATGTCACGCACTCTTTACGTCTGTGACGAAAGAGATTTTCTGGGCCGCACTTGGCCGCACTCGGATTGATACGGGGATAGCATGAATTGTTGAGGATTTATTCTTTTCTCCGCTCATAGGATGAGCCTAGCACATACTCCCTTACTGTCCTATGTATAAGTATGGGCTGTTGGTCTCCTCAGCTTAGTAGGGCTTTTAGGTATTCATTCGCTGCTAGTCAAATTCTATGATGAGTTATTGTGGCTTAAGCCAGTAAATTCGACAGTTTGGTCTTCACTAGCGTATACTTTCTCATGAGCAGTCATTCGCCTCTATAGGTATTATATTGCCTATACATAATACCTAAGAAACTACCATCATTTTGTCTGTCTGCCTCCCCTTTTGTCTTCCACTTCTTCCATTTCTTTCTTTTGCTCTTAGCTATTCGGCTTTGATGATTGAGATCGGGCCGGACATATTAGATGACATGATGAGTAGTAGATGGTACGATTATTAGAAACTTTGATGCCAGTGGATTTAAACGAGTGACATAATGGTGCTTTAATAACAGCAGAAAAATGCCAAATGGTAACTTGCAGAGTACACTAAGCAACTATAGGCCATTCGAAATAAGATTGGTTCTTCACAGAACACGCTCTCACTGGACCAACTAGGTGTGGGTTGAGTCACATCATCCTTGATCAAAATCTCAAAAGCGGAGTCATAGTAGGCGGATGCATCGTGTTCATACAGGTTGTGCAATTGCCTCCGAAACAAAATGTCATGCATTTCTTGTAGCAGGAAACGGGAGCGGCAGTAGTAACTGTGACTGTAGTGGTTCCGCCGGGGCCCCCGGAGAGTTGGCATTGATCATCACGAGTAGCATTATTTGCCGGGATACATCCATCAATGCACAGACTATTGCCAACAATGCCGCCGTAGATATCCTCACACCGGTATATGACCTGAAAGAGCTGAGCCATAGATAGCTGTGGGATCGAGGATGTCTCGTTGACGGCAGCAATCAACTCAGAAACCGAGTAACCTATCCAAAGCGTGTAGTCAGTTGATTAGAAACGATTTGATATAGGATACTTTAGATTGCCATGTTGATCAAACAGGTTCACGTACCATACATCGTCGCCAGGGTAGAGCCACATTTATCCGACTGATAGATACAAGGACTGGTGTACGCGTTGACCCCAAGGATCAATGACGAAGCCAGCTGCAGTGCTATCCATGGGATTCTGCACATTCTGTCCTCGGGGTGATGATGTTAGTACTATCGAGGTGTGAGGACTTAATGGTGAGAATAGTCGACAGAGTATATAGTCTGGATTGACCAATGTATAACATCCATTAGACTACGAAGTACCTTTTCTGTATCGTATTCCTAAACCGCCACAAAGAAGCAATGCAACCCTCGAATATGATTTGGTGATGGTTGTGTCATTGTGTTCCCCAGCTATCCCCAGTTGACCCCGGAGATCCTCGAGAGAAAAGTGGGGGTTCAGTTCCATCGGGGAAGTCATCAATACGAACAGAGCTTGTGTTCCATTCTCCGGCATGTTATGGGGAAGCAGGAGGGAATTGTAGTTGATCTATCTCAACCCATTGGGATAAAAGCTGGTCTGGTCTGCAAGTTCCCAAGTCACAGGTACTAATGTGTTGGGTACTCTTAAAGTATCCCCTCTTGCGGACTTGTTCTTAACATAGACTTGTGCCCAAGCTTGGATGGAATGTCGGTATTCTCTTCTCAGATAAGCCCAACCGTATTTAAGGCAGCCCACAGTAATAGCTGCAGGTATGAAGAATTTTCGCTTTATGCAGATCATCAATCCTGCATACCTGAGCGATCTAGGCATATTAGGCCTAGTTGGCCACAATCAACATAGTGGGCTTCAAATAAGAGATGCAACTTCGAGTTTGAAGAAAAGAGAATTAAATTTGCTGACAGCTATACAGCTATATCAGACAAAACAGACCAAATGTCTTTGAAATCGGGGGAAGCTGATAGCCCTGGGGCGTGGGGAACGGCCATCACGCAACTAAGGGATCATTACTGCCTTAGGCACCCCCCCTGACATTGAGGCTCCGAGGTTCAGCTGAGCTGGATTTCGACCTCCAGTCCTACTTTTACCTACGCATCTATCGAGATCCAAAGTCTCGGAAAGAAAGGTCGGATTTTGTACATCGACCGATCGTTGGTGGTCCACTGAGTTAGCAGCGGCCCAGAAAGCCGCTTATCCAATTTGTTTCTCTTTTTCCCTTCACACTTCCCCAAAACACACACTTCTCCCACTGTGGGCTCTGCTTTTTCCTATACATCCGGCACCTTTTCCACCCCCACCACTGTTGACGCTACTGATCCGATAATCCTCTTCCATCCGTGGGAGCTTCATCCCGCCCTGAACTCACCCCGCCACATCTCCCGCGCGGTTTCAACCCCCCTTACTCCGAACCCTCAGCTATCAACTACACGTCAATATCAGCCAAAATGGATAAGACCATCGCACGTGCGGTGAGCGAAAAGAAGCCGGTCCCGGAGATCGACTTCACATTGCACACCATGGAGGACAGCACGCAGGTCTCGACAATGGAACGAGTGGTCAAAGGTAATGCGGTCTCGGTCGCTGCACGACATTCCAAAGTTGCAATCTGATCACTGACGGTATTTCGTGCCCTCAGAGGTCCAAGCGCCCGCCTTAAGCACTCCCCCAGATGATATGTTTTGGTCCCCCGAGGATCCCTCCAAGCCCAACCTCCAGTACCTCAAGCAGCACCTCTACCGCGAAGGCCGTCTCTCCGAAGAACAGGCGCTATGGATTATCCATGCCGGTACTCAGGTTCTGCGATCAGAGCCCAATCTGCTCGAAATGGATGCGCCCATTACAGTGTGTGGTGATGTTCACGGACAATACTACGATCTGATGAAGCTGTTCGAGGTTGGCGGTGACCCTTCGGAGACAAGATATCTGTTTTTGGGCGATTACGTCGATCGAGGCTATTTCAGTATCGAGGTGCGTTATCAGGTGTCCCATCCAAGCTAAATGGATTCTGACATTCTCTCGCAGTGTGTGCTGTATCTCTGGGCATTGAAGATCTGGTATCCCGATTCGCTTTGGCTTCTGCGGGGTAACCACGAATGTCGTCACCTTACGGACTACTTTACTTTCAAGTTGGAGTGCAAGCACAAGTATAGTGAGCGGATTTATGAGGCATGCATTGAGTCCTTCTGTTCGCTGCCGCTGGCGGCTGTCATGAACAAGCAGTTCCTCTGTATTCACGGTGGTCTCAGCCCGGAGCTTCACACTCTCGAGGACATCAAGTCCGTAAGTATTACCATATCTGTATACGGGCGATGCTAGGAACTAAAGTCAACTGCAGATCGACCGATTCCGGGAACCCCCGACCCACGGACTTATGTGTGATATCCTCTGGGCCGATCCTCTGGAGGAATTCGGCCAAGAAAAAACAGGCGATTTCTTTATTCACAACAGTGTTCGCGGATGCTCCTACTTTTTCTCTTATCCAGCTGCATGTGCGTTCCTGGAGAAGAACAACCTGCTTTCCATTATCAGAGCGCACGAGGCTCAGGATGCCGGATACCGCATGTACCGGAAAACGCGCACCACTGGCTTCCCCAGTGTTATGACCATCTTTAGTGCCCCCAACTATTTGGACGTTTACAACAACAAGGCGGCCGTCCTCAAATATGAGAACAACGTGATGAACATTCGCCAATTCAACTGCACTCCTCACCCATACTGGCTTCCCAACTTCATGGATGTTTTCACCTGGTCCCTGCCGTTCGTTGGTGAGAAGATTACCGATATGCTCATTGCCATTCTCAACACCTGCTCGAAGGAGGAATTGGAGGACGATACTCCCACCTCCGAAGTGTCTCCCCCCGAGGACAGCGCCCCGATCACCTCTCCTGTATCAAACGACCCCGAATCCAGCGAGTTCAAGAGACGCGCCATCAAAAACAAGATTCTTGCCATTGGCCGTCTCTCTCGTGTCTTCCAGGTCCTTCGTGAACAATCCGAGAGTGTCACTGAGCTGAAGACGGCGGCTGGCGGTCGTCTTCCTGCTGGAACTCTCATGCTGGGTGCAGAGGGCATCAAGCAGGCCATCCACAACTTTGAGGATGCCCGTAAGGTTGATATTCAGAACGAGCGCTTGCCTCCTAGCCAGGAAGAAGTCTTCCAGAAGAGCGAGGAGAGCCGCCGTGTGGCTTTGGAGCGTGCTGAGCACGAGGCTGCCAATGATGCTGGACTGGCTACTGTTGCCCGGCGAATCAGCATGTAAGTTTTGAACGACTGATCATAATTCATTCAGAAGCTAATTGAGGCTCACAGGTCTGCTGGCTCGCGTCCTAGTCGTCGCCCCCGGGATCCTCCCAAGGATGCATGAGATGGCCCTTGATGTGGTTGAGTTGATATTATGACACGATCTATGCATTTCTTCTTCCTGTCCTCCAGCGCTCACGCCTTTCTGCCCGACACGATCGATACGATACCCTATCTATCTGCTTGATCCTACCTCTCGCCAGGCGATCATCCCGTGAATCACAATACTAGCGATCATAAAGGACAGTTCAGTTTAACATGTATGCTTTTTCTTGTTTGATCTTGGGATTCGTAGAATTTGTAAATACGAATATCTGTAAGGTAATTTACATCAGTATCATATGAAACAATCTACTAGGCTGTCGAAATGTTCGAATATTGGAGCATAGACAGAGCATAACTTGGTAAACATGGCAATGCCAAGCCCCGATCCCGCGTCCACTTCCGCTCAAGTTCGTCCATCGGGCTTCAGAATTGCCCGCTCGTCACACGCCTCAATGGCCCCCAGAATGCGCAGCGCGCTCATAAAGAGCCTGTCGCGCTCGCTGGACAGTAATTATGTCTTCTATTGTCCGTCGTGCGCGATTTGGCGCCGCACATTATCAACACGCGCCAGCGGTCGCAGCATTGACAAAACCGACACATTGCGACGAAGCAGTCGGCCCCAGAACACAATCATAGCGTCGACTCCTCGGCCATTCAACACATCGTCTGTGATTACTGCGAAATCCGTTCCGCCCCGGTTCAAGGAGCTCTACACTGCCCTGGAAGGAGTCAAGGATGCGGCGCTTGAGCAGGTGAACCTTAGTAGGCTGCAGTTTGCGCTACGGGGATTGGAGTCTGAGACGCCTCTTATTCGTGTTGCTGGTGAGTTTCTGCTTGTTTGTAGCCTTGTTCTTTTGGACATTGGGTGTTTCTTGAAAAAGCGAGGTACTGATTTGAGTCTGAAATGTAGTCCTCGGATTGAATGATGCGACCTGTGCCCGCAAACTCGTTAGACTACTGCTTGCCGACCCATTAACGCCGCGGGAAACTTGGGAAGACATTCTAGACTCATACAATGCCGACTCATCGCGAGGGCTGTTGATTAGGTATGGATGACTTCCGCCTGTTATGTGTCCGTCATAGACTATACTGACTCGATATTAACTATGTAGATATGGTGAAATCTCAGAATCTATCCCCAATGATTTGCTACCGACAATATCAGTGCCCTCGCCCATTCTCAGGAACGGAAACCTGGAAATCCTAGTCAGCACGATCGGCTCCGAGCCTGACCCCAATGCCGCTACGCTCCACGCCGACACCTTTCTCGTTCCAACTGTGACCATCCAGTCATCGCACTCCGGTCGGCATAATGTTGTTCGGTATCCTGTGCACCGCAGTATCGTCTGCGGAAGCGGGGTGGATGGTCTACTGGCTTACAGCACAATGATGGGCCGGTCAGACCTGAAGCATGAGCTCGCTTCCGTGCGCGGTGCTATTGAACTCGCCGTGGCAGATCAAAAATTCAACAACGACCGACTTTCTCTGGTGGATATTGAACGTGCCAGCACAGCCTTAGACAGATTCCGCGACTCCGTCCAAAACGCCGGAGACTACGAACGTGGATGGAATGGTAGTGGTGTGCAGCCGCTCATCGACTGGCTTGCAAGCTTCTCGGAAGCATCAACTCAGGACAAATTGAACCCAGCCTTAGTTCCTCTAGTGGAGTCTATCCTCGACTCCGCCGAGGCTAGCGTGCTCGTCCGGGATGCGAAGGCGCTCCAAGACCAGACCGCTGGCA